CAAGAGCAAAAGACAAAGAGAGAATATTAAAAGCAGCAAGAGAAAAGCAGGTAGTTACCTATAAAGGAACACCCATATGATTGTCAGCTGATTTCTCAACAGAAACCATGCAGACCAGACGGGAATGGCAAGAAATATTCAAGGTGATGAATAGCAAGAACCTACAGCCAAAAATAATCTACCCAGCAAAGCTATCACTCAGAATCAAAGGACAGTTAAAGAGCTTCTCAAATAAAAAAAAGCTAAAAGAGTTCATCACTGCCGAACCAGAATTATATGAATTGCTGAAGGGGGTTATTTAGGAAGAGGAAGAAGATAAAGATAAAAATAATGATCAACAAATACGTAACTATCAACAAGTGAATCTAAAAACCAAGGGAATTAAAAAAATCTGATGAACAATATTAACTGGTGAATATAATAGAATCAGAGGTATGGAAGGGAAGTGGACTGACGATTCTCGGGGAAAAGGGGAGTGAGGGTGCAGGAAGAGACTGAACAAAAACTGTGCACCTATGGATGAGGACAATGGGGGATGGGGATGAGGACAATGGGGGATGGGGAACCTGGTGGAGGGGAGCAATTGAGGGGGGGAAGAGGATCACATTTGTAATAATCTGAACAATAAAGATTTATTAAAAAAAATAATTACTTTTATGAAATACCACCTTAATAAATTAGCTTTTAAAATTAAAAAATTTTTAAAAACCCTTAAAAATCCCATGTCAGAAATAAAACAAAGGGCATCTTTGTACATATTAATAAAATTTTGGTTAAAATAATGTATTTAAACCAATCTGTCAAAATGGCAAGATCACCATGTCATGTTACAGCGCCACGTGTCTCCGTACCTTAGGCTTTTACAGCTCCTCCGAGCTTCCTTCTGGTTTTCTCCTTGCTTCTTGTTGTAGAATTTCCAGTCAGTCGACTTTCCTGTAGTTCTGGGTAATGCCCATTTTATATTTTAGTTGTATTTTGTTGAAATTGTTGTGTGCGGCTGCGGCTAGTTGCCTACCCAAGCAGCCATCTTGGATTCTCCTCTAAAAAACATATTAATGTATTGCATGATATGCATTTTGATGTGTCTGATTTCTCTTTCACCATTTTACCTCAGATTTATCTTTGTTGTGTGGAAGCTGTAGCTTGTTTATTCGTATAGCTAACTTATCTTATGAATGTGCTATGGTCTACTTATGCATTCTACTGTTGATAGATTTTGGATTTCTTTTAGCTTAGGGCTATTACTAACAATGCTGTGACATTCTTGTACATTTTTCCTGGTATAAATAAGTATTTCTAAAGACAAATACTGAGTAGTAGAATGACAGGTTTAGAGGGGATGTGTATTTTTAGCTTTTTTCTTTTTTGAATGATTTTGCCCATTTATAGTCTTTTTTTTTTTTTTACAGAGAGGAAGGGAGAGAGAGAGAGAGCTAGAAACATCGATGAGAGAGAAACATCAACCAGTTGCCTCTTGCACACCCCCTACCAGGGATGTGCCTGCAACCAATGTATTGTACATGCTCTTGACCGGAATCGAACCTGGGACCTTTCAGTCCACAGACCGACGCTCTACCACTGAGCCAAACCGGCTTCGGCAGCCCATTTATAGTCTTGTTAACAATTCATATGAGGTAGTTACTGTATCCTTGTCTATACTTGGCACTATCAATCTTTTTAATTTGAGTTATTCTAATGAGTGAGTATATAATGATATTTCATTGTGTTTCTAATTAGTATTTTTTTGATGGCCAACAAATTTGGGTATTTGTATTTTTTTGGTTGAAATGTCTGCTTAGGTCTTCTGCCCATATTTCCTGTTACATTGTTTAACATTATTATTGTTGTGTATTAGTTTCTTTAATCTTTTCCTGAATGGAAGATAATAATGTAGTTTAATTTATCAATCTTTTTAATAATGTTTTGTGTGTGTGTGTGTGTGTGTGTGTGTGTGGTTTAACAAACCTTTATCCTGAGATGATTATATTTTCCCATATTTGTTTTTTTTCTTCGTTTGCTAATCTTCACCTGAGAATATTTTTTCCCATTGATTTTTAGAAAGAGTATAAGGGAGGGAGAGAGAGAACATGATGTCAGAGAGACAACATAAGGAGAGAGTGCCCCTAGGATTTGGGTACCAGCTCTGGGAAGGGGACAGAAACCCATTCTATATGACAGCAACAGCTCCTAGCAGTGTACACAGCTCCTCCAGGAACAGCATATCATGATAAGAACTTCCCTTCCTATCAAGCAGTGGGTTTGGAATATATTTTATCGGACCCATCTCTGCCATGGCTAGAACTTTGACTAAATGGCATGCCTGTTTGCTGCAGAGAAGCACCCTGTCTGCCAGCCCAAAATGTGAGTGCTCGTAGGCCCCAGAGAGATGTAGACCCTCCAGGTGTCCTCACTGCTATTCCTGTGGCAGCCCTGCATCCTGGAGAGAGAGGAGGAGGGAAAACCCACTGATGTCTGGTATGTAGATGGGTGTGGTTGGGGCAATCTATCCACCAGGACTGTAGTCACTCTTTAGCCCAACACTGCCACCATCTGGATGGAAGCAGTAATTAACCACAGCAGCCAATGGGCTGAACTCAGGGCTGTTTGGCTGATGATCACTCATGAGCCCCGTGCATTCAACTTTGCTCTCACAGTTTGGGCTGTCCTAAGGGAATTCACTCTAACGCTTAGACCACATGTGTCAAACACAAGGCCCGCGGGCCAAATCCGTCCCGCCAGGCCTTGCAATGTGGCCCGCACCGCGCTGTCATCACTGCACTCCGCTGCGTTTCCATCACAATGACAGTTTATGACTGTTCAGTAAACCATTCGGCCCGAGATTTAGGCTGGATTTTAGATTTTGGCCCCTTCTCTGATTGAGTTCGACACCCCTAGCTTAGACAGTGAAAAGCCCAGGGCTGGATGATCATGAGCAAGTCTTTGTGTGGACAGGATGTGTGGAGGGACATTTTTGTTCACCTGCAAGAGCCTGAGCTCACTGTTTTTCACATCCTGGCTCATAAGGCACTGACACCCTCTGCCAATCAGGAAAGCTGATGCCCCAGTTCAAGTACGATCCCTAATAATCAACCTTTCAGTACATACAGCCAGTTGGGTACGGAGGAAGAGGCTGCTGCTCTGCCTGGGTGGGAGGGCATATTGCCAAGGTTGCCAGATTGTTCTTGAAATACAGTGAATTAGCTAATGCAGTATCAGCATGTCCTGAGTTTTCTAAGCAATGCCCGAGGCAGCTGTCAGTGGAGTCTGGGCTCATCCATGAGGTTCCAAACTGGTGAGGGATTGACAAATTGATTTTATTGGCCCCCACTCTCTGAGCAAAGGGTTCTAAATATGCCCTGGTTTGTCTTAACGCTTCATCTGGCCTAACCCAAGCTTTCCCCACCACCATGCAAACCAGGCTGCCATCATCAGGGGATTAGATAACCTCAGTACCAGGTGCATATTCCCTTGTTGAAGACGGCATGATCAGTGGTCAGATTTCAAAAGTGACGATATGTAGCCGAAACCGGTTTGGCTCAGTAGATAGAGCGTCGGCCTGCGGACTGAAGGGTACCAGGTTCGATTCAGGTCAAGGGCATGTACCTTGGTTGCAGGCACATCCCCAGTAGTGGGTATACAGGAGGCAACTGATCGGTGTTTCTCTCTCATCGATGTTTCTAACTCTCTATCCCTCTCTCTTCCTCTCTGTGTAAAATCAATAAAATATATATATTTAAAAAAAAAAGTCACGATATGCAAAACTGAGCAAAAGAACATGACACTGGCCAAAACCGGTTTGGCTCAGTGGATAAAGTGTCGGTCTGTGGACTGAAAGGTCCCAGGTTCGATTCCAGTCAGGGGCATGTACATTGGCTGTGGGTACATCCCCAGTAGGGGGTGTGCAGGAGGCAGCTGGTCAATGTTTCTCTCTCACAGATGTTTCTAGCTCTCTATCCCTCTCTCTTCCTCTCTGTAAAAAAAAAATAAAATCAATAAAAACATATTTAAAAAATAAAAAAAAAGAACATGACACTGAATGGAGGTTCTATCTCCCCTATAACCCACAAGCAGCAAGGGTGGTGGTGGTGGGGGAATATTCATTAGGCATCAGATCAAATTACTAACAGGTAAAACCACTTTGGCCCGGAGGACTAAAGCACTATCCCAGGCTTCATACATTTGAATGACCAACAAGTATGGCCTCCTGTCCATATGCCAGATTGGGGACTCCTACCAAGGCAGCTTCCATAAAAGCATGGAAGTTGAGGGAAGCAGCCATTGACGCAAATGCCACCATGGATCAACACGCTGTGCTGTTGAGAACACAGGCCCCGTCATTTCTGGGAAAGGCATTACCTACTGGGATTTGCAGTGGTATATCCCATAAAAATGGATGGGTTAGTTTGCACCTTTGGGGGAGAAGGAACTATTCTGTCTCCACTGGGATCTCACTGTCCATGGTCTTGCTATAAACTGGACCTGTGGAAACACCCTATACCTGGGATGAAACGTGTACCATTGAAAAAGGGGAGAAGGTGGGGGGGGGGGGTCTTCTCATTAAGTTACAGACACAGACAAAATCACCCTCAGGAGCACAGTCAGTTTTGTAGACAAAAGGCAGAAAGGGCCAGTTAGAGATATACGGACAGATTGCAGGATGTACCAACCCATTTGATTCCATAGTAGATTTCCCTTTCACTCTCTGAACATTTCCACAGAAGTTAATAACTTCTTTTTTTAAAAAAAATATATATTTTATTGATTTTTTTTTTTTTTTTTTTTTTTTTTTTTTTTTTTTTACAGAGAGGTGGGGAGAGATAAGATAGTTAGAAACATTGATCAGCTGCCTCCTGCATACCCCCTACTGGGGATGTGCCTGCAACCAACATACATGCCCTTGATCAGAATTAAACCTGGGACCCTTCAGTCTGCAGGCTTACACTCTATCCACTGAACCAAACCAGTTAGGGCTAGAATTTATTGATTGATTGATTGATTGATTGAGGAGTGAGATGTTTAATTTAGAAATAAGCTTTGAACAGCCTCCTGATTAGAAGGAGCCTAAGGCCCCCAAGTGGGGAGGGAACCAACCGCATGGGAGCTGGCCCTGGAGGTGCCACGGAGCTGGTCCTCCCTCAGATGATACTGGTAGAGCCTGACGTGGTGAGTGGAACAGCTTTCTCAGAGAAGGGGCTGAGATTGCAATTGCACTTGCATTTGCACTTGCCACTCAAAGCGAACACGATTCCAGCGATGCAGAGGAGCGCAGCGCAGATCATCCCGCCCAGCTGCAGGGTCTCCCAGTCGTAAGAAAAGGAACTGTCTTTATCAATCAGGTCGTTGGCTTCCAAGGCAGGCAGGCCTGCCAGCACAAGGAGAAGGCCCCAGGTCACTCCCTCCATGTCACAGCTGCAGGGCAGGGCTGAGAGCAGGGTGCGCAAAGCAGGTCTGGGGCGGCCGCTGGGGCTGTAGGGATAAGACTGGAGCCTGCAGCTTTGAGTGAGTCCTGAAGTGTGTCTCCAAGAAGAGTCTCTGAAGAAGCCAGTCTCCTTCCAGTTAAAAAATCAGGGCTAGAATTTTTCTTAAAGAATGTTTTTATTGACTTTAGAGAGAAACATCCATCAGCTGCCTCCTGCACGCCCCCTACTGGGGATGGATCCCCAAACCCCGGCATACCTCCTGACTGGGAATCAAACCAGCAAACTCTAGGTGTATGGGATGATGCCCAATCAACTGAGCCACATCGTCCAGGGCCACATTAGAATTTTAATACAGAAAAGTAGGAGTGCATAAACATTACATAAGAAACACAAATTGACATAGCCTAGAATGAAAATGCCTGAGAGAACAAAGTACAAATTCAAGCTTAGAGTTTTAGGGACTGGTACTTGATGAAATCACATTATTTCCCAGCAGTTCAGTTTCCTCATTTGTGGTTTAGAGTGATAATCAAGTGAGTCAATAAATGAATATATGCATATAAACATACATAAATAATAATATATAAAAATTCTATATACTGCCCAGTGCTATTAAAACTACAGATGTTCTCTTCTTAATTTCTTTCAATCACGTTTCTTTCTGCCAATAGAAAAAAAGACAAATATCAAAATATATTCGGTATTCACAGAATGAAAAAGATAAAATTATCAATTATATACTGCAATCAACAACAATAAAATAATGGCCCTAGACAGTTTGGTTCAGTGCATATAGCATTGGTCTGTGGACTGAAGGGCTCCAGTCAAGGGCATACCTTGGTTGCAAGCTCCTCCCCGGCTGGGCCCTGGGAGCGTGCAGGAGGCAACCAATTGATGTGTTTCTCTCACATTGATATTTTTCTCTGTCTTTCCCTTTCTCTTTCACTCTTTCTAAAAATCAATGAAAAAAAATATCCTCAGGGGAGGATTAAACTAATGATAATAATAATAATAAATTTAAAAGATAAAATGCTTTAAAAATATATAATGGCTACAGTTGTATATTTGCTAATATGTCTACATGGAGAATAGTGGAATGATCATGTGTACCTCTGCATTTTTGTGTGTTGAGTAGAGTGAAAAACAGGGCAGTAAACGGCTCTTTGCCCACTGGCTAGAAACATGAAAAAGCTTATGGGATAGCCAGTAACTATGTGAATACAATCTATCCCCCAAAGTCAATGTGCACAGTATGGTATACGCAGGTTTACAGTTGTGAGTACAAAAAAACACACAATTTATTCTTGTATTATTATTTAGTAACCATTGTATTATCTCTCATACGAACAACTGTAAACCTACTTTAGCCAAACCCTGTATTCCTTTTTTACTTTCTTACAACTTAATGTTCTTACCTTTTAAGCTTCCTCTTGTATTTTCGCTTATACATTTCTTGTTTGAATTTCTTTCTCTTTTTTAAAAACCATTGATTTACCTGGAGAGAGAGAGAGAGAGAGAGAGAGAGAGAGAGAGAGAGAGAGAGAGAGAGAGAGAGAGAGAGAGAGAGAGAGAGGGGAGTGTGTGAGAGGTGATTAAACAAAAAGAAAAGGGTATTGGCTTATACAGGCAATAGTATAATACTATATGAGTAACTCTGTGAGTAAAGAATATGTGTCTCACCTGTTTCTCTGTCATGTTAAATTCAAATGCAAGCGACAGACTAAGTCCTTTTGTGGGGCACTTGTTTAACTTGAACGTTGCCCAGAGAGTGTCCATGAGGGGCTTACTGACTAATCTTTTCTCCGGATATTCTTCCTCACATTCCATTTTTTCTCCTTTCTTCTCTTCCTCCTGTTCCTCTGCCAGTTTCTCTTTTCCATCCTTTTCCATTTCTTCTTCCTTTTCTCCTTCTCCTTCTCTCCATGTTTTATTTTTCCTCCTTTCATCTTTACTGTGACTCCTGTTGGGTTGCTCTGGATTTTTATCACAAGGCATAACTGGTTGTTTCTGTATAGCAAGATCTGTGGAGGGAAATCAAACTACAGTTAAATTTGACTTTCAGATTATAGTCAGCATTCATCAGTGCAAGAATATATCTGATTTTCTTTCAGAGAGAGAGACTACAATGTGAGAGAAACATCATTTGATTGCTTCCTATGGAGGACTGAACTTGCAACTTGGGCTTGTGCTCTGACTGGAAATTGAATCAACGACCACTGGGTTCACAGGGCTATGCTCAAACAACTGAGCCACACCACTCAGAGCAAAAAAAAAATTTTTTAATGTAAGACCAACATTTAAAAAATCACAAGATGCCAAAACTGGTTTGGCTCAGTGGATAGAGTGTTGGCCTGCGGACTGAAAGGTCCCAGGTTCAATTCCGGTCAAGGGCATGTACCCTGGTTGCGGGCACATCCCAGTGAGGGGTGTGCAAGAGGCAGCTGATCGATGACTCTTTCTCATCGATGTTTCTAACTCTCTATCCTTCTCTCTTCCTCTCTGTAAAAAATTAATAAAATATATATATTTAAAAATAATAAAAATAAAAATTAATCACAAGATTAAGCCCAGTTCATGTGGCTCAGTGATTGAGCATCAACCTATGAACCAGAAGATTTCCGGTCAGGGCACATGACAGGGTTGTGGGCTGGATCCTCAGTGTGAGGTGTTTAGGAGGCATCCAATCAATGATTTTCTCTTATCATATATATATATATATATATATATATATATATATATATATATGTATATATATGTATGTATATATATATATATTAATTGTGAAACAATTCTCATTATGTTTATAACCAGAAATTCAATTGATTACAAATTTTTCACTTGTCAAACACAGTTAATAATCTTGAGGGGAAAATACATCAAAGGCATATATACAATTATAGAAGTTCTTATTATACATGTAGCATGGAGATACATTTATTACTTTTTACATCTTCTAAAAGACATTCAACTCAAATCAAGATAAATAGTTTAATAAAACTGGTTGATAAACTTCTAGTGGCTGAGGTCCTTCATTTAATTTTTTGTGATAAGAAAATCCAAAATTATTCATATTGAATCTTATTATATTATTGATGTTTCTATCCTCTCTCTCCCTCTCCCTTCCTTTCTGACATGAATAAATTTTTTTTTCAATCAAGAGACTCAACATCAAAATTCAAATTTCCAAATGAAAAAAAATCTTAAATTGGTGGTCCTAAATTTCCACTTATAATAATAAAAAGGTAATATGCTAATTAGACCGGATGTCCTTCTTTACCAAGCTGGTGCTGAAGGAAAGCTGGTGCTGGCAGCCAGGGAAAGGAAGGCCTATTCTTGCACAAATTTCTTGTATCAGGCCTCTAGTGTAATCAATAATTGGCTGGCTCCAGTGGATAGAGCGTTAGCATGTGGACTAAAGGGTCATGGATTTGATACCTGGTCCAGGGCACATACCTTAGTTGCAGGCTTGATTCCCACTCTGGTAGGTCGGTTGGTAGGTTGGGAGAGAGTATGGGAGGATATCAATCAAAGTGTCTCTCACACATCGATGTTTCTCTCTGTCTCTCCCTCTCTCTTCCACTCTCTATAAAAAGCAATGGGAAAAGTATCCTTTTATGAGAATTAACAACAGCAGTAACCAAAGGACTAAATCCCTAGATTTCTTTATATATATAGTCCTAGTCTCAGTAATCCAATCTCCATGTTTTTAATACCATTCAAATGGTGATTGGCTCCAGATTTTTCTCTCTAGCCTTGTATACCAATTCCCAATTCATTATATTTGCTTGTATGTCTTACAGGCAACTTAAATTCCCAAACTCAATCACAATCCCCTTCACTGAAACCTGACCGACTCTTGGTTCTCTTCTAAAAGCCAACTACTTTATCCAGTCGATTGAGTCAAAAAACCTTGGCAGCATCTTGGACTCCTCGCCTGTCTCCTAGTTCAAACTCAATTTGTCAGATATCTTGTAGGTTTTTTTCTTTCTTCAAAATATACTGAGGCCCTAGCCAGTTTGGCTCAGTGGATAGAGCGTGGGCCTGTGGAATGAAGGGTCCCAGGTTCAATTCAGGTCAAGGGCACATATCTGGGCTGCAGGCTCAATCCCCAGGAGGCAGCCGATCAATGATTTTTACATCCTTTCTTCCTTGGGGAGTGCCGAGGCCGATGGTGCTGTCCGTTCTCTGGAGATTAGACCTGCAGAACTCCTGAGAGAGTGAGTGGCTGCCTCCCCAGCTGGTGGGCCACTGGGAAGGGTCAGTCAGCTGAGCAGCATTCCCGCTGTGGGAGCACACTGACCACCAGGGGGCAGCTCCTGTGTTGAGCGTCTGCCCCCTGGTGATCAGTGTGTGTCATAGTGACCAGTCCTAATGATTGCTTTGTCTTTTCCAAATATATATATACTTAAGACTATTCAATGACTAACTTTAAGACTATTCATTGTTACTTGAAGGGTTTAAGTGATGAGATAAACTGTAGATAATAAATTGGATTAAAGATATTTAGAGACAGACCGATTATCCCCTGGTAGTGGAAGCTATAGAGACGATGGTGACAAGAACTAAGGTAAATGTCATCTGTATCTTGGATGTCAATAAGCCAAAGAAACAGCACCCAGTGGTAGAGTGGGCAACCAGTATAAAGAATAAGTTCACAGAAATAATGTATTCCCAAAAGGCACTTGAAAAACTGATCAATATCCATTCTAATCAAGATGAAAAAGAAGCTAAATCTTAAATGAGATGTATCTATACTGATATAAAATACTATTTGCAGTGTGATGCAACTTTTATAAATAGATTAATGAATTCAATAAATCTTTATTGACCACTTACCATGTAGATGGCAAAATTGCTTAAAGAGCAGAGAGGTGGGAAAGGCCATTGGATTTCCAAAATCCAGTTTCTTTCTATCACTCCTAGAAATGCTGAAGAGACATTAGGAGCCAAATTAAATAGTATGTCAGTAGCCAGTCTTCTGAGAAGGCCCTCCGGCACGGCTCTGCCTCTTCCTCCTGCAGACCACGTAAAAGGGGCTCTCACTCGCTTCTGTCCCAGGCAGCCAGACACCTTTGCTACTTTCGCTCTGGTGTCACAGGAAACTATGGGTAATATTGCGATTTATAATGAGAAATATATAAGAAATATATACTTGGTTTGTATTCCATTCCTGGCCCAGACCTCCTAAAATCCATGGAATTTTCTATTAAGAATGTTAAGACATCTTTTGTTATGTTAATGAGGCGACTGGAATGTTTTTAGGTAATCTGAATGTGGACTGGTTGCTAGGGAAACCAACCTTCTGATTACAGGGTTGGAACTTTCAGTCCCAACCTCTGACTGACCTCCAGTAGGGGAGAGGGGCTGAAGATTGAGTTCAATCACCAGTAGCCAATGATCTCATCAATTATGCCTGTGAGTCATGCCTCCATAAAAACCCCAAAGGGTGATTTTTAGAGAGTTTCCAGGTTAGGGAACCAGAAGTATCCATGTGCCTCAGTGCAGGGCCCTAAGCCACAGAAGCTTCTTTGTTCTGGATCTCTTTCTCTCTTGACTTCATCTGCTATTGACTTGTATTCTTTAATAGCCTTGTAATAAACTCCTAAGTAAATGGATTTCCTGAGTCTTTGAGGCACTTTAACAGATTAAACTCAAGAAGAGGGTCAATGGAAACAAAAAAGATAATTTGTCAGAAGCACAGAATTTGTGATTTGTGATTGGCACCTGAATTAGTGATCAGTCTTGTAGAAATGAAGCCTTAATTTGGGGAACTGAGCTATTTTTATTTTTTCAAATAGATTTTTATTGATTTCAGAGAGGAAGATAGAAACATCAGTGATGAGAGAGAATCATTGATCAGCTTCCTCCTGCATGCCCCCTACTGCGGATTGAGCCTGCAACCTGGGCATGTGTCCTTGACCAGAATCGAACCCAGGACCCTTCAGTCTGCAGGCCAATGCTCTATGCACTGAGCAAAACCAGCTAAGGGTCTGAAGCTACTTTTAGATTGATAGTGTCATAACTGAGTTGTAGGACACCGAGCTTGAGGGGAAAAACTATACATTGGAACTGGTGCAGATTTGTACTATGTATGCATTTTTGGTATTTAATGTTAATTCTATATACTCATTTGCACAGTGTAATTAGAATTCAAACTTGTGGAATGTGGGATAGATTTTATGAGAACATGTCTAGGTGGCAAGTGTAAAGATGTAATTTTAAATATGTCATCAGATGCAAATTTACCTTTTATATTTGTTTTGGTGTTTTATCAGAGGCTTCCAAAACTCTGAACAGGAGAGGACAGATGCTCTAGTAAGACATGTTAAGAGCCGAAACCGGTTTGGCTCAGTGGATAGAGCGTTGGCCTGAGGACTGAAGGGTCCCAGGTTTGATTCCCATCAAGGGCATGCACCTTGGTTGTGGGCATATCCCTGGTGGGGGGTGTGCAGGAGGCAGCTGGTCAATATTTCTCTCTCATCAATGTTTCTAGCTCTCTATCACTCTCCGTTCCTCTCTGTAAAAACAAAACAAAACAATATATATATATATATATATATATATATATATATATATATATATATATTTTTTTTTTTTTTTTTTTAAAGAGAGATTATGAGCCCTAGCCAATGTTTCTCAGTAATTAGAGTGTTGGCCCAAGCACCAAAGCGTATAGGTTTCAATTTCTGGTCAATGGCATGTACCTAGGTTGCAGGTTGGATCCCCAGGAATCAATGTCTCTCTTTTTCTCCCTCTCCTTCTCCCTTTCCCTCTCCCTCTCCCTCTCCTTCTCCCTCTCCCTCTTCCTCTCCCTCTCCCTCCCTCTCTCCATCCTCTTCTCCCTCTCCATCTCCCTCTTCTTCTTCCTCTCTTTCTCCCTCTCCCTCTCCCTTCCTCCTCCTCTCCCACTTGCTCTAAAAATCAATGGGGAAAAATATCCTGAGGTGACGATTTACAAGAGAGAGAAAGAGAGACACAGAGAGAGAGAGAGAGAGAGAGAGAGAGAGAGAGACAGA